AAATCAATGAGGAAAGGAAAGTATTTTTTATAAGTAGTGCTGGAATAAGTCGATATCTATATGAAAAAGTAAAATGAACTAATAGCGCGTCTATACCAGATGTATTGTGAGACAGCCACAGACCTAAGTGTCAACACAAAACAATGGAGTTCTCTGGGGAAAGCACAAGAGGGCGCCTGCAGAGAGAGCCCCCCCCCCCCCAGTGGCTCTCCCCCCGAGGCCAAGGCCCGCACAGTGGGCAGGCAAGCCTCCTTAGAGAGACAGAAGCCATGGACCAGGAGATGGCGTAATGGCTATGTCGCTGGACTCCCACGTAGTCGACTGTAATTTGAGTCCTAAACCTGGTGGCTTAAACTCATACCAGGTGCATGTGTGTGCGTGCCCAAGATCCCGAGAGGAGAATGGAGGAGAAGGAATTGCAGCATGGCCATCCCTTGGGTGGGTGGGGGGGGTGACTTCTCGCTTCTGTCTCTCTGTCTCTATCTCTCTGCTGAGTGCACGAACCCTGTAGCGAAATCTCTCACTTAGAAAGAAGAAGGAAAGACGGAAGCCAGATCACGCAGGCTGTGGGGGTAGTAGACAGTTACTTGGGGTAGGCCGCAGTTCCCTGGACGGGGCACAGAAAGCTCTAGCTACTAAGAGAAGTGCACGGGCCACTGCCGCTCCTCAGCATGAGCCTGGGGCCACGCACACTAAGAAAATGAGCAGGGAAGCCACAGCAGGTCTGGCAGAGCCCCCGCCTCCACAGTAAACAGTGGGCAGAGGATGCCGTGGGTGCACGGAGGGCCGCAGGACTCCACCCCACCACCACCAGGAGGGCTCCGTCGGGTGGCCGGGACGGCGAGCATGAGTGCATGGGCAGCCGGCTTCTTCACATCTCCGTGAGCCACGGAGGCTGGGGGTGGCCCAGGTAGGCTTACACAGGGCGTGCAGGACGTGGCCGCGGGACAGCCAGGAGGGTGCGACTTCTCAGGACCAGAGTCGCTCGCTGGGCTGTGGGGATGAAGCGGAGGGCGGGTGGCAGCTGCGTGTGGCACGGTCCGGCTCAGAGCAGCTTCGCCCTGAGCTCGGCCTGTCCGCCCAGCCTGCCTGCAGCACCCCCAGCATCTGCATCTCCTCGCCCAGGGCCGTCTGAGGTCACGGGCAGGCAGCTGCCTGAGAGGCGAGTGGCGTGTTTGGCCCCTGGCACTCTGGGAGCAGCCGCCCAGGTCATAACAGATGGGCAGGGGAGTCGGGGCCCTTCCCTGAAGGCAACCCCCGGGAGATGGGCTGGAGATGTCCCCACCCAGACAGCGCCCGGAGATGCCCCTGTCACTTCGGACAAGCCTGCCTGCTCCCGTGGCACAAGAGTGGCGCCCCTCGCCTCGCTGCCTCAGGCAGAGAGTGGGGCCCTCGCATGCTCCGCAGTGCCATGTAGGAAAGCCACTGCGGCTCCTCGGAGGCATCGTGGGAATTTGAGATGATGTCCCCAGGTCTGACCTGTCCCCCAGCTCTGGCGGCCCCATAGCAAGCTCTGCAGTCCCACAGGCAGAGGCCGCTCGGCCCCTGATGGGCACTGAGCCCTTGGTGCTGGGTGCAGGGCTGCCTGTGCTTCCTCTTCTAGGCCTTTACCTCAAGGCGCGTGTGCTCGCCGGAGAGACAGAGACAGTGCAGAGATGCAAGAAACGGCCACCCCGCGATCCCTTCTCCTCTCGGGATTTGGGCATGCATGCACTGGCACCCAGCATGATGTTCAAGCCACTGGTCTGGGAGTCAAACTGGTCGGCCGCGGAGGAGTCTAGCGACGTAACTGCTAGGCCATCTGCTGGCCCCTTCCAAGTGCTTTTTTTTGGAGAGGTTTTTGCTATAGGGCGCGTGCGCTTGCCAGACAGACAGAGAGAGACAGACAGAAAGCGAGAAATCACTCCCCAGGGGGGATGGCCACGCCGCGATCCCTTCTCCTCCGATCTCCTCTTGGGATCTTGGGCACGCACGCACACGCACCCAGCATGAGTTTTAAGCCACTGTGTCTGGGACGCGAACTGTGGTCGACTACATGGGAATCCAGCGACATGGCCATTACGCTAACTGCTGGTCCCCCAAGTGCTTTTCAAACCCCTTTTGCAGAAAGTCAGCCCATGTGGACATCATGGTGATTTTCAGAGGTCTGCGGGCTCTGGGGCTGGGAGTACAGGACACACTCCGTGACTTGAGGACCAGCGGGATTATGCTGCTGGACTCCTACATAATCAGCCGTAGTTCAAGTCCTAGACCCAGCAGCTTAAAAAAAACTCACAATAGGGCTTAAAACTCATTCCAGGCGCATGTGCATCCTAAAGTCCTGAGAGGAGAATGGAGAAGGGATTGTGGTATGGCCATCCTCCCGGGAGGTGATTTCTGTCTCTGTCTCTCTGACAAGCGCACATGCCCTATAGCAAATATCTCTCTTTAAAAAGGAAAAGAAAAGAAGAGTGTGTCCTGGGACGAGGGCACAGGAGAAGAGCCAGCACCCTGCCCGCCTGCAGGCCCTGCGGCACTGGGCGGACTGCCCAAGCAGGGACAGGACAGCTGCAGGTCACTTGGCAGCTCCGGGTCGGGCCTGGTTTCGGCCTGTCTGTGCCCTTTTTTCAGAATTAATTTTGGTCTGAAAAGGGCTCAAAGGAGGCTTTGTTGCGATGACACTTACTCTGGAAGGAAGAAATCCGTGGAAAATCTGACATCTGTGAGGTGGGGCGGATCAGTAGATGGTATAATTACCCTCCACTCCTGAAAGGATTTTCAGATTTTTAAGTGTCTCTTATCAGCTTAGATCTGAATGACATTTTAATTATTTTGTTTTTTTCTTCTTTTCCTGGTTTGAGTCTCCAAAGAGCCTCACTCTCAGGTTCCGAGGGGAGCTGGGGGTGCTTACAAGGGAAGCGTCACGTGGGCCACACCGCCCGTCAGAACCCAGTGGTCCCTCGTGGTCACAGAGGGCAGGTCCCGTGGGCGGCGCACACCTGATTCTAGAACGTGGTTTACACGGACACAGACATGCAAGTTCTTACACGCCCGGAGCCTCTGTGCGGTGCGCCCCTCCTGGACAGAGCCAGGCACTGTGACGGCGGGAGGGCTGGCAGGAGGTTGGGTGGTGCCGAAACCCCAGGCGGTGTCGTGGCCTGGCGGGCTCAGCGTTGGGTGGAGGTCAGGCGGGAGACAGTGGCGCCTGGCCCACCTGACTCTGTCTGCTCCCGGCGCCATCCCCCAGGGCTGACCAGGGGTCCTGGTATAGCTGCAGCCTTCCCATCCCTAGGCCACACCGGTGGTTCCAAACACACCTGGCGCTGGACGCGGCCACCCAGTCGTCCTACTGGGCAACTGCAGAGGCCACTGCCTTGCCCGACCACAGGGCTGCCAGGGCCCCGGCTACCTGACTCCACCCAGGCCCTGCTCAGGGCCTGGCCTCCCGAGTCCTCCCTTGTGTGAGGTCAGCTCCGTGGCCAGCACCAGCTCATGCCCCTCTGGCCACCCGCATAGATAGACCTCTGGCTGCCTGATAGACCGTGGGCTCCAAGACAGTGCCACTGTCCCCAGGACCAGCCCCTGATGGCTCTGTCCAGCCAGACCCTGACAGCTGAGCATGGCATGCCCACCACCTGTGCCCTGAACCTGCCGTCCCTCCAGCCTGGGCCTTCTGGGCTTGCCCCTGCTCTGAGTACTCGCACGCCCGGGTGTATGCTGTGGTGCCGGCCCCACCAGGGGGACCCACCCACTGGCTATGGGAAGAGCCCCCAGGTGAGATCAGTGCCCCCCATCTCACCAGGCCCAGCCAGGCTCGAATTTGCAGCCCCAAGCTGTGGGGGGTCTCTTCCTGTCATGTGTGAGCTGCTCCTGTCTGGGGTCCTCTGTCACAGCAGCTGAGTAGGCCCTGATCTCTCCGGCCCCTGCAAGCTGCCTGCCCCACCCAGACGTGGCCTTTCTGGCCATGGGCCTCTGCCAGGCCCCGGCACCCTGCCAGCCCTCAGGGGGTAGCTGCCGGGTGGGCGCAAGAACAGGCGATGAGTGAGCAAGTAGCTGGACCAGGGCTCACGGTGGCCACAGAAGCCCAGCCAAGGGCAGGCCGGGCCGTTCTCCACCTACAGGCGCTCCGGGAGTGGGCAGGTGAGCTGGGCCGCGTCTCCTGCAGTGCGTCCAGCCTGGCCCTCGTCGGCCATCTGAGCTGCAGGTGCCTGGGAAGGAGGCACAGGAGGTGGACCTGCCCGCGTACCGCGGAGCCTGCACCTCGTCCCCCAGCACAGGCTCACCTCTGGAAGCGTCTCCTGGGTCTTCACTCTGGAGCCAGGTCCTTCTTCCCCCAGGGGACTCAGGGCAGCAAACTCGGGGACACTCAGCCTGGCCCACCAGGTCTCCCTCGTGGTCAAGGGTGCAGCTGCAGCAGTGCACTGCTGTCCCCATGCAGCCCGTGCCGCTGCTCGCTTAAATCGCCGGGAGGCGCGAGAGGCAGGGTTGGGGCAGAGGGCGAGAGCACCGGATGAGGAGCGGGCACACCTCTGCCCCTGCTGTTTCTCTGTCCTGCGGGGATTTGGGGCATACGCGTTCACATCCGCGTGCTTTTCAAGACGCCAGGGCTGGGATTCAAACTGCTCAGTTGTGTGGGACCCAGCTCCCTCCCACTGATGCACAGCTGGCCCTACTTCAGCATGTCGGTCCTCGTGCAGCCTGAGAATGTGGGAGCTCAGGAGGGCTGTACCCGCAGCCCTGGCCTGTGCAGGGTCCCAGCCTCCGCCTCCCCTGGCCTCGCGAGGTGCTGAGGCTGAGCGCTGTGGGCAGGAGGCCCCTGCGAGGCTGCACGGCCTCACCTCGCCCAAGGGCGTGCCCCTGCCCTCCTCTTAGGTGCTTCACTCCCACAGCGAAACCCTCCTCCACAGCGCCCTCCTGCCCTCGCGTTCGGCTCACTTCTGCAAGGTGCCAGCTCAGTACAAGCGGCGTGCCCGGCGTGCCTCCAACCCCAGCCCCTAATGCGCCCTGCTCTCGCCTTACAGGGCCTCATCAAGATCCGGGGCGACCGTTGCTGGCGAGACCTCACCTGCATGGACTTCCACTACGAGGTGAGTGGCGTGTGCATGGACCGGCCCGGCCCGGCCCGTGGCTGTGTAGGCACTTGAGGCCGCGCTGCGCACCTGAGCTTGCTCGCCTGCCCATCTCTGCTCCAGGTGGGACTGAGCTCCTGCCCAGGTAAAGCGCCACTGCCACTACGTAGTCACCTTCAGCTCGCTCGAGACGTCCCTGCTCCTGCCGGTCCTGGGGTCGTCGGCTCCCGGTGGCTGCGGAGGGTGTGCGGGGCCTGCCCTGCTGTGACGGGCTCAGCTGGCTCGTGTGTGTGGCACCTAGTCTCGCCGCCCCAGCCCCTCGGTGGCGTCTGGGCCAGGCTGTGCCCGACAGGTATGAGCAGGGCCAGGACCAAGCTGCCACCACTTGGACATGGGGCAGGCAAGACCCCTGCAGCTTCCAGACCTCCACGGCCCCCACCGAGGGCCCAGACCCAGATCCAAGTCCTGGACACGCCTGGTCCTGCCAAGTGCTCATGTACTCACCCTTGGCCAGGAGCTGGGTCACAGCACCCCAGAATTAACCTGTGGGGACCTGAGGCTGGGCTGGCCCCTGCTCCGTGTGTGCCGAGACGCCTCCCGCGGCCTGCTGTCCCCACTTGGGTCTGCGTTGTCCTTGGCAGCACCAGGTCCCTAGGCCCCTGGGCCATACATAGCTGCCTCCTGGAGGGCGTCTTCCTGCAGTCCCGTCAGGGGCGTTGCAGTGCTTGGTGCACATGCAAACCCCGGACGCTGCCTCTGGGCCTCGAGCGGCAGTTAGCCTGAGGTCGGGGATGGTGCATCCGGTCTGATCGCTTTACTTATCTTATTGTCCTTGTCATCACTATTCATTATTATTCAGTTTGACCAGAGAGACAGAGAGAGAGCAAGCCGCCAGGTCTAGAGCCCGACCCGCAGTTGGTCATGTGGCTGTCCAGCAGACCAGCCACCACACCGCCTGGCCCCTGGGTTTTATTTATTTATTTATTTAAAAAAAATTTTTTTGGGACAGGTTTTCACTATAGGGCGTGTGCGCTCGCCAGAAAGACAGAGAGAGACAGAGAGACAGAAAGCGAGAAATCACCCCTCAGGGGGGTGGCCACGCTGCAATCCCTTCTCTTCCATTCTCCTCTCGGGATCTTGGGCACGCACGCACACGCGCCCGGCATGAGTTTTAAGCCACCGGGTCCGGGACGTGAACCGCGGTCGACTACGTGGGAGTCCAGCGACATAGCCATTACGCTAACTGCTGGTCCCTCCTACGTTTTATTTTTAAGCCTACATCGAACACATCAGAAACCCGGCTCTTCCTTGCCAGGGACTCGTGAGTCTTGTCCTTGTCCTCCTCCTCGAGCGGGATTGGTGTCCCTGTGCCCGTGTGTGTGTGGGAGTCCATGTGCCCGCGTGGGTGTCTGAGTGCCCACGTGCACGTGGGTGTCTGAGTGCCCGTGTGTGGGCATCTGAGTGCCCGTGTGTGTGGGTGTCTGAGTGCCCGTGTGTGAGTGTCTGAGTGCCCGTGTGTGGGTGTCTGAGTGCCCGTGTGTGTGTGGGTGTCTGAGTGCCCGCGTGGGTGTCTGAGTGCCCATGCGCGTGGGTGTCTGAGTGCCCGTGTGTGGGTGTCTGAGTGCCCGTGCGCGTGGGTGTCTGAGTGCCCGTGCGCAGGTGTCTGAGTGCCCGTGTGCGGGTGTCTGAGTGCCCGCATGCACGTGGGTGTCTGTGTACCCATGTGTGTGTAGGTGTCTGTGTACCCGTGTCCAGATATGACCCGAGGCCCTGTGGGCTGTGGTGCTGTCTGCACAGGCCGCAGCTCAGACCGGGTGCACTGTGCCCACAGAAGGCTCAGAGCGTCCAACCTGGAACCCCAGCCGCACTCCTGCTGCCCAGAGGCCGGCCCCACACCTCCCCCGGGTCATCATGGAGACCCTCAGGGCCCCTGCAGGCCGCCCCACCATGCTAGCGCTCCAGTGTGGCTCCTGCCGCCCATGGCCACGAGGGTCGGGCACGCCCTCCCCCAGTGTTTCTGAATCACGCTGTTGATATGGCAGAGGTGTGGACCGCGGGGCCCGGTTCGATGGTGAGAAGGGCGCTTAGCAGAGGAAAGAACTGGGGTGGGGGATAGGGCGAGCCACAGGCCACAGGCCACAGAGGTGGGCGGAGCGTCCCTGCTGTGTGGCCCCCAGGCCCTCGGCCCCGGGAAGTGTGCCGGGCATCCGTCCCCTCCCGGCCACCCCGCCTGCTGCATGGCCGACCCAGAGCCCTGCCGTGCCCACTCGGGGAGCTGCTGTGTGAAGCTGTGTCGCCGCTGCCCTCTGGCCCTCCTCTGGGGCTGATGACAGTGCAGTCCCATGCCGGCTCGTCAGGGGCCGTCCTCTGACGGGGCTGCTGGTGGGCGTGCCCTGAGCAGAGTGGCCGTGCCCGGCTTCCATGTCCTTCCCCACGTCCTCCCGGGTGCACTCAAGGGACCCTCATCCCTACACCCCAGTTCCCTGTGCCCAAGCCCCTTCCCCAGCGAGAGGGATCCCTGTGTCCCCGGGAGAGAGGCCCTGAGGAGGGCCCGGGCACCCAGGTGAGGCCGTCAGGCTGGAGGACTCGGGCAGGGCTCCTGCCCTTCATGCCGCAGGGCAGACGGGGAGGCCCAGCCCACCTGCCTTCGGTCCCCGTGGGTCATGGCCTGGCCACCTGTGGTCAGTGGGGCAGCAAGTCACCGGGCTACCCAGGTCCCAGTGTCACCCCAGTGGTCTAATGGCACCACACCTCCTCTGACTGGGGTGTGTACTCCGTCCCCGTAGGTCTGGAGGGTTTGAGACAGAGACAGCTTGCTTTTCTTCAAGACCTGCTGAGCATGTTTCCCCGAAGTCCTCAGGCCCTTCCTCTGGCCGGCACCCTGGACAGGTGTCCCCGAGAGGGCAGGCCCACCGGCGGCTCACTGCTCCCTGTCCCCACAGACCCAGCCAGTGCCCAGCCCCGCGGCCTACTACCTACACCGGTCGCCCTGGTGGCTGCACCGCTGTGAGACACTCGGCACCCACCTCCTGGAGCTCCTGGTGCCCTTCCTGGTCTTCCTGGGACGGCGGGCATGTGTCATCCATGGGCTGCTGCAGATCCTGTTCCAGGTGAGCCGTCCGCCCACCAGGGCCGACCGTCTGTGCCCCCCGGTGTCGGCACGCCACCCCAAGAAGCCCAGTGTGACCCCTCCCACACGAGGTTTCCAGAGGGCATGAGGCAGCACAGGGCTGGGGTCTGCCGCCCGGGCGGGACGGGTCCGCTGCGACGCAGCGCTCAAGGCTGGGGTCCTCGTCTGAAGGTTTCTTTAAGCTCTGGAAGTTCCTCTCACGTATGAGACACCACTCCACCAGAGTCAGGCTCTGGAAGAGGCCCCGGGGCCGGATGCTGCCCCGCCTTGTGGCCGTCACCCTGCCCGACGCATGTGGGCTCCACGTCGCACCCCCAGGGCGGGGCCCCCTCGCTGGGCATTGGCCGGTCTCGGTGCCCTCCTGTCCTGTAACGCTACAGGCTGATTGCCCATGTCCAGGAGATGCGCAGCTGGGGCGAGTTCCGCCTGTCCCCCTCGTCCTCTCCGAGGCCTGGCAGGGTGGTGTGCACTGGCGTGACCCGGTGACGGTGCGTCCAGGCGCCACACCTGCCCTGCAGCCCAACCCACCGGGGCCCCCTGTGCCCGCCTGCTCCTGAGGGCACCCACTCTGCAGTCACAGCTCGCGGTGGTTGGGCGGGGCAGAGCGTGCTCCGTGTCTGGGACGCTCTGTCACCTGCTCTCTGCCAGGCCTGCCATGACGCCACGCCCTGCAGGTGAGCGTGCGCCTCAGGCTGCTGCCAGGCAGGGTCCCAGAATGGGTGCGGCCATGACCTGGGGTGCGGGTCTGTGGGCGGGGTGCAAGCCCGTCCCTGACGTGAGCGGCTTGGCCAGGGCCAGCCCTGTGCAGCACGTGCGCTGTCCCTGGGAGCCACGGTTCCCCGTGGCAGCCGCAGGCAGGTCCTTGGCCAGGTCAGCCGGCACGTGCAAAGGCACCACGGGCCAGGGGCCAGAGAGGGCCTGGGGCGCTCGGTGCTCGCTGTCTCCCACACGCCAGCGCACGCTGCGTCACGCGGTAGAAGAGAAGGGACTTACAAGAAGCCCGCGTGGTCTCGGAGTGCACTGTTACCGATGAGCAGGCGGGACCGGCCGGGGGGGGGCTCGCGGCTGTCAGTGTGCGGGCCTGCCCGCCACCGCCCACCTGCCCTGTTTGCGTGCCGTGCGGTCAGGGCGCGTGGCCCTCACAGACACAGGGCAGCCCGGGTCCCTGAAGGACAGCACAGCGGCAGGGCTGTTCCGGGTGGCCTCTGTCTGCTCTCTAGGTAGCTCCGGGCCTAGACCCCTGCCAGGGTTTCCTTCATGGCCGCGTTTCCAAGTGTGCAGGCCAGAGAGAGTCCACGCTCTGCCTTGGTGCAGAGCACGCAGCTGTGGGGGCCCGCCAAGCCTCAGTTCTCGTGTCCGGCACTGAGCGTGGGACAGTTCTGAACTGTGCCGGACGGACTTTCTCTGCCGAGTGACACCGTGTCCTGGTCGGTGTGCAGGCTGAGGCGCCTTGCTCCAAAGCCGGAAAGTTCTACTCGGGGTGGCGGGCCTGGGCGGTGGCACACACGCAGCAACACCCGAGGCAAGGCCCAGGTCCAGGCCTGGAAGTCACTCCGCTCCCTGTCCCCTCCTCTGGCAGTGTGCCGTTTGGTGTGACCAACCTGCGATCAGGTGTGGTGTTTTCCACTTGTCAAAAAGCTTCAGGGCCACCCAGGTGGTGTGGTGCTTAGGGCAACCGGGTCCCACATGGCCACTGTGCAGTGTGAGTCCCCAACCCAGTGACCTGAAAAACACGCTGGGTGCACGTGTACCCGAATCCGAGAGGAGACGGCGTGGCCATCTCCCCGAGGGTGTGCTCACCTGCATCTCTGCCCGTCTGTCTCAGGTTCACACACGCACCTGTAGCAAAGTTTCAGAGTGGGGACACCCCACCCGCGTCTGGACCCCGTATCGTCTGTCTCCCTCACGTCCTGAGGGTCTCAGTTCACCATCCCCCCTTCTGGCTGGCCTGGCTCCTGCTCCAATGTTCTCCACGGTGACGTCGAAGTTCAAACTGCTCACCGGAACCCAGCCTGGCCATGGGTGTGACCGCTGGGCAGACCACCATGCTGCCCACCCTGTGCTGCCCCCCCATGCTGTCCCCCCATGCT